ATCCTCGCTTTATGCTGGAAGGAGCCCGAAGATCCAGACTCGCACCAGGATCCCCGGAGATGGCCAGGAGCTCCACCAGGCCCCTTGTACTCCAGGCAAACGTCAACTCATCTCCCTCAGCTCCGAATCCTGTGGGGTTGGGTGTGTGTGGGGGGGGTGGGGGGGCGTACCAGCTGGGTAACAAGCAAAACAGTTTTGCAGACAGCATGCACTCTACAAAGCCCCTCCAACCCTGCCTGCCGGCCTTTCTTTCCTCCCTTAGCCACACATGGCACGCAGAACCCCACCCTCACCCCCAAAGAGAATTGGACCTCCTGTAACTGGCTCCTTGGGGACAAGGAGCCCTGTAAATGCCCCAGAACCCAATGCGGTAGACTCACAAGTCATGGAAGTTGCACAGGGAGGAGGCTGGGGTGAAGACATCCAGGAGTCCAATGACCTGGGGGAAAGGTCAGCAGTGAGGGCAGGGCAGCCAAGGTCCTCTCCTCCCCACCCCCACAGAGGGCCCCAGCCAAACACAGGACCACCCTACCCTTCCTAACACACCATCTCCAGCAGGAGGCAAGTCCCCAGCCTTCAGGGAAGGAACTTGGGGTAAACGGGGATGAAGAGTGAGGCTGGAGAGAAGGGGAGGGGACCTTTCTTAACTCTTTGCTCCCAAGCATGGTGCTCAGGGAAAGCAGCACAAATCAAGCAATGAGACAGGAATGACAAAAGGCATACTTGGGGAGGGGGTGCTGGGGAGAGGGGAAGAAGCCTTCCAACGAACCATCCAAGACCCTGACCTTGGCGCCCCTACCACATCCATCCCTGTCTTCCATGGGGCTGGTTTGGAACCAGGGGTAAGATCACCCCAGGCTGGAGGCTAAAGGGGACAGGTTTGATGAAGATGGAGGGGGCTCAACGTGTGCTTGATATTTTGAAATCATGATTTTATTTGTTTGCCCTCCAATGCAGGTAGGCGTCCCGGGGTCAAATGTAACTGCCAGGCTCAGCACTGGCTGGGCCACAGCGATTCCTAAGCAGTTTAAATCGATGGGACCATACAATGGTTATGCACCAGATCTGAGGTCAGGCTGTCTCGGATCAAATCCCCTAACTAGCCCTATGGCCTGTGAGCCTTTCTGTACCCCAGCTTCCCCATCTGTGGAATGGGGGTAATATCGTAGATTAAACTAGCTAGTTGAAGCGAGTCTGGCTAGACCAGAGGAGGTACACTGGTACAGATAGGAACTGAAAATACAGGGAATCCAGG